AGTCAGTGGCAGAGCTGCCTTCTGCCTGCAGACTCAGGGCCGAGGCAGAAACACTTTATGGGTCTAGGAGGTTATTGAGCCCGATTTGACCACTTCCCGCCCTCGCCCTCGGATGTGCTGGCTGGAGGGAGAGGCTCTCACCTGCATCTCCCTGATGTCTAGGGCGCACTCCCCTAAGGGACAGGGCGCACGCGGGAGCACTGCTTGGCCGGCTGGGAGGCCTGAGTGTGATGACCAGAAGCAAGCCGGGCTGGGGAAGAGAGGGACTCACCGAGAAGCCCCCAGGAGTCCCCAGGAGTCCCCCTCACGCCAGAAGCTCTTGTTGCAATTGCGGAAACAGTAAGGAGTGGTGCAGGTACTCCGTGAAGACCGTGAAGACCGCGGGGCCTAGGCTGAGACCACGGGCTCTCGCTCCACGCGCTCTAACCGCGGGGCTGCGGGGCCTCATCCGGCCTGTGGGCGGGGTCCCCCGGGGGAAAACGCGGATGCTTCGGGGAAGCAGAGTGCAGTGAGTGAGTGGGGGTTGGGGGGGAAGCAGCGTGTCACGCACACCTCTGCCAGCCTGGGGGAAAGGGTGAGCCCAGGACGGGCTCACCTGGACCCTCCCGCAGCTACTGTGCATTATTCCCTTTGAACTTGACATTCCAACAGGAACCCATAGGTGCTATTCGCTTGTGCAGCGCATTCCGGGTAAGCTCCCAATCGGCCAGAAGCCAGGCGCCTGTCTTTCCCTGCCCGCCTCAAAGCAAAAGTAAGGGTAACAGCAGCGCTCCTGGCGGGGTGCAGGGCGGCAGGGCCACTTGCCAGTTTTCACGTCCACGACCTGCCCCAAATTTGAACGTTCCTTCATAGGTGTCACAGCCTCATACACACCCAACAGGTTTGAAAGAAGTTCATCGTTCAAGAACCCCGACTCCATACCCGACCACCCTTGCTTGCAGGGCCCTGGGAATCAATCTCTTTTTTATAAATGTTTTAATGAGTTGAGCAACCCAGTTTATGTTGAATAACTTCTATGTGTAACTACAGAAAAAAATTAATTTATTACATGTTGTAACCATTTACAATATAACACAATTTTTCTGCAACCTGCTTTGGCATTTCTTCATTTTAAAAAACATATTTATCAGGAGACTTTAAAACTGGCCAAGGCCAGGAGTTTCTATACCTCTAAAGGACCCTTCGTTGAGCACACTGCAGGTCACTTGGAAACTCCTGAAGGGTGCAGGAGTTCAAGGAAGATTGTTTCAGATCAGCCCACTAAGCATTGCCCAGAAGTTCATAATTAATAATAATAATAGTAATAATAATGGCAACAGTAGTAGTAAGTCCATACCAGCTGTACAGTGCTTAATGGTCTTCAAAACATACCCACCCTTAGTAATCCAACCACCCCAGAGCCAAACCTGGAAATGCCAGTTCTAAAGGACCATCTATCCACACTGCTGGCCCCAAATACTAAAATATGCTTCTGAGCTTTGAAAGACTCTGAAAGGCCTCCTTACAGCTGGTGACTTTGAGCACTATTTTTCCGTCCGTAAAATGGAGACTATGTCTGAGCTGCTAAGGAGGCCTCAGGGAAATGCTGTAGAGGAGGATGCGGAAGCACTTCTTCACATGTAATGTTCCAGACAACAGAAGGTATAGACATTTGTTGTTATTGTGTATTGTTTGGCTGCTCCTCTGGGCCGCCCACGGGTTAGGAACCTCAGCTCCTGCCTCCTTCATGGGTGGAGGTGAGGCCCTCACTCAAGGCCGGGCTTGTGCAGTAGCCACGTGCCACTAGCCTGTGTCACTACCTGCCCTCAGCGCTTTCCGACTTACAAAGCGCTTTCAAGCATATGCTGCTTCCTGCAGTCGCCACGCAGCTCAGTGTAATTCCCAGTTAAGATTGTCATCAGGGTGAGGCTGGTGGCCTGCAAGACAAGCCCCGCAGCCCCTGGGCAGTGGGGCCCCAGTGCGAGGGTGTCTCTCTTCCCTCCCCATCCTTTGTGGACCGGGAGCTCCTCCACCAGGATTCACATTCCGGAGATGTCTAAATTTCTCCGCTGCTCAGGCTGGGTCGGCAGCAGCTCCCCCCCCACCCCCCAGGCAGAAGCCTTTCTGTAAGCCCAGCTGATTTCCGGGGGCTCCTTGATTTCCAGGGGCTCACGTGAGGCCGGGTTCTTCTTTTCCCCCGGCAAACGGTGAGAAACCACGAAAGGAGTGGCGTCCGGGCCAGGAGAGAGCCCCGGAGCTGACTGGGGCCGCCAAGTCACAGCATCCCGGCCCCTGGAATGTCTGCAGGCCTTGGAGGACGCCTTGCTTCCGTGGGGTGCTCGGTGTGGTGCTTCCAGGCTTGCCAGTTCCCGAGTCTGCAAAAGCTCCCCGTTCCCCGGAGCCCTCAGACACCGCCCCTCCCTGGGCCCAGCCCCTCCGGGATCAGGGATCGCGACCAGGTTCTCAGAGGCAAGGTGACACCTTGTTTGAGCCTCCCTCGGAACTCTCTCGAATGAAGTCAGATTCCCTGTCAACCTCTCCCCTTCGCCAGCGTGGAGGAGTGGGAGTGCTCCAGGGATTCTCGGTGCCCTGGAAGCCATTTATTTCCTGAAATGGAACCCATTCCCAAACTCCCACTGCTTGGCCCAGCTCTTCGGAGACACTCCTGGCCCGTGAGGTCCTCAAACCTAGTTGCTTGGAGTTAGAGGCAGCTTGGGAGACTCAAGGCCAACAGGCTGGGGTTTGAGTCTCTCTCTCTCTCTCTCTCTCTCTCACACACACACACCCCAGAGACATTTTGCAGCCCGTGGATCTCAAATTTGCGGCCCAGAGTAAGATTCGTGGGCTGAGCCTGAATCCTTGGGTTCAATTTCAGTGCAGGTCACAGCGAGTCCCCTTCCCAGCTATTCCTTTCCCGTGGTTTATCCGTCTAAGTGTGTGGGTCGTAGCCAGCTATCTCCAAGGCCAGCTCTCAGATTTGCTAAGGGCCCAAAAGAACTGAGAAAGATGAAGAGGTCTAAAGGCTCAGCTGGCAGCTTACTCCAGAAAATCAGGCCCCCCAGGAAGCCGACAAGGAGCACTGCACCCCGGGGTTGCAGAGAGTGGGTGGACTACAGTCCCCTCTGTCCGGAAGTAGGGCGGGCAAAGAGCCGGACTGACTGCTTTTTTTTAAAGGCAGGGCTGGGAGTAGAGAAGGAAAAGAAATTCAGAAAGTAATACCGCAGATTTCCAACAGGACCCGCGTCTACAGCCTGGGGCCCAGGTAAAGATACCCCTCTTGGGTCTCCAAATACCAGGAGAAATCTGCTGAAGGCCTGCTGGCTCTGCAGGCTGATTCCAACTCCACAAATCCCATCTCAAGGCGCTGGTGCCAGCGCCAGCTCCGGGGCAGCTCATAGTGAAACTGCAACAATCCGGGGCAAACTGAATTCATTTGAGTCATTTTTCCCCGGGCATCTGGAGCCAGCCCAGCATAAGTGGCCGAGGCAGGGAGCATAGAGGGGATGAGGAAGGGAAGGGGAGCTGCCCGGCCTCCTCCTCGAAAGAAAATCCCAGTTCCCTCAACTCCAAATCCGCAAGGATGGAGGACAAACTTACCTCTTAGGCCAGCGTCGCAATGAACTGCCATTTCAGAAGGGAGGAAAAAAAATCGACACCCCCCCCAAAACCCTCAGAAGTGGCAATCTCTGCAGAGAGGAAGGGAGAGAATTCTAGCATTATTGGAAATGTTCTAACGTTCTACAAGGAAAATGCATTCACGATTAATTATGGTTTGAGTGGAATTTTTAAAACATGCCAAAAAAGAAACAAAATAATTGCAGGAACAATCTAGAAGGAAGATGGACTTGGGGGTAAGGGTGTGCGTATCCAGAGGGCCTTTGCCTTTCCCTTCGCGATTTGCTGTTTCCACAAGCAGGAATCCTTTTCGAAAAGCCGTTGTTGGGACTCTCCGCTCTGCCGGGACGTGGGGCCTCAGACTCTCTGACCCTCGGCCGGCCGTGGACTTTGGGGTACAGAGGCCTGGGGGCCCTGAGGCGGGGAAAGGTCTCAGGCCTGGGAGAAGGCCTGGTCGGCCTTTCTGGTCTGGGTAAAATTGAAAGTAGTTGGGGCCGGAGTTTGGCGTCTCCGGCTCCGGCTCGGCTCCGGCTCCACCGGGGCACCAAGGCCTTGGAGCCAGCAACGTGGAATTAACTCTTCCTTGCTCAACCCGGACCCGGCATGAGAGCAGTGCGGTGGTGAGCATTTTGCTCTGGCGAATTGGCGAGTCTGGGGAGTCATGGAACATGGGGCGGGCTGTGTTCCTCTGTAAAATGTAAATAATAAATAACCCTCTCTCTACTAGGCTTCTGTGTGGATCAAATGACACCGGGTCACAGAGAGAGGAAATGCTCTGGAACAAGGTAGAGGGACATTTGCACCTGGCCAAGGGTCAAAGCTCAGTTGACTTTCCTTGAGAGACCTCTTATTATATAACCTTGCTTATTACAGCCTTCAGATTTTCAGCGAGTTTTTGTTAGCCTATTCTCCAAACGAAATGAAGGCACGGTCACTTACAGAAAGGCTGGGAAAATCACAGAGAGGTGATTTTGGGCAGGTGGAGGAGTCAGCAGGTTAGGCAGGGGTTGAAATTGGCTGTGGGTTCAGCTAGGGATGCTTTCTGAGCTCTGCAATCAATCCCACGAGGGAGAAAGAAAAAGAAGAAATCCTAGGCATTTGCTTCCCACTCAGTGGGATTCATCTGTGACTTTTACCAAGTCCCCTACATCGCAATTCCCTGAGCTGTGCAGGTTTAAACACTTTCTGCGTGGCGGGCAGCAGAGCGGCTCCCTAGAGGGAAGAGGCATCTTTGGTCCGGGACTTCGAAGCGGGTGGGAAAATGAGCCCCAGACATTTTTATGGTACTGGATTCCCCAAAACCGGGCGGAGGGAGGCTCAGAGAAAACACTGCGTCCAGGAGGGCATGTTAAACTAAAAGTTTATAAATTAAAGGAAAAAGAAAGATAAAGCAAACAGAGCTTCCAAACTTCACAAATCTTTTTAAAGTTAATATTCTAGTTGAGTGCACAGTGCCCTTAAGGAGGCAAAAAGCAACAAGGTTGACAGGATCATCTGTCTTAAGGGCAGGGGCTGGGATAGGAGAATCCTGGGTCAGAACGCTGGAGCGGCGCAGAATGGGACCAGAATGGGACCAGAATGGGAGCAGAATGGTCGGTAGAGACAGAAGGGGCCTGGCGATGAAACTGCGGGGGACGGGGGACGCCAGGGAAAGGCTGGGCAGGGATATTCACATTGAATACAAAAATAACCGTTATTTGAATACAAACAACTGAAAAGTGCTACAAGTTTTAACCTCCTTTAAAAAAAATAAAGAAATAAAGGAAAGTTTCTGCCAACGGCTGCTGGGTTTGCTCTTTCCCCGTTGGTTCAGGGTTCCCAGGAAGCTCCCCAGTTGGGGGTAGCCCTGGACTTTGGAGAGGAAAGATGGGGGGGCCTCTGCCCTGCCCTGTGCTCGAGGCTCCCTTCTTTACATTCAGCACCCAACAGGGTGTCCCCACCGGAGCTCTGACACAGGGAGGGGTGGGACAGAGGCCCTGAAAAGCAAACCTTTCACGGTTCAAATCAACCCCAGGGCTCGGGGCTCCTTGGGGGCTGTCAGGGTTCTGCACCCCTTTGTTACAAATGCAATTTCCAAAAAAAAAAAATAGGTATGTAGATAAACATAGATTGGTAGCATGGATACCATGAACGATTGTGGCCTAGCGCACGAAGCTCCGGGCCAGCCTGAAATTCTGGGGATTCAGGCTCTGCTCTCCAGGAGTTCTCTCCGCTTCAGGGAAACACCTCTCCTGGCTGATACAATCCAAATCCAACTTTGCTGTGATAATAAATAACCTCCAAGAGCTTCCAGGCAGGCAACGGGAGAGCTAGGCCCCTAGGCCACAGGGTGCCCCCCCGTTCGAATTAGAGAAAGGCGCCCCCTCTGGACAGACTCAGTCCCGCTGCCAGGGCGCACTCCTGGATATCTGAACCTGGGCTGGATTTCATGGTCCGCTTGCCCCCTCGGCGGGGCGCCCTCGTACAGTGCACAGCCTGCACAACCGTCAGCGGCCGTCCGGAGCGGGGGCGCGGGGATCCTTTGCTGCCTCGCCCCGGGCCGGCTCACTGGGTGCCCGCGGCGGCTGCACACGTGGAGAGCGCCCAGCCGGGGAGGCAGTAGTAAGGGTAATAGTAGGAGGGCTGCAGGGGCAGCAGCGAGGGCGGCCGCAGCACCTCGCCCGGCAAGTACTGTCTCTGGTCGTCGCGCACCAGCACTTTCACCGCCACCTTTTTGGCGGCCGGAGCTGACGCCAGCAGGTCAGCGGCCATCTGCCGGCGTTTGGTCTTGTAGCGACGGTTCTGGAACCAGATCTTCACCTGGGTCTCGGTGAGCTTCAGCGATGCGGCCAGGTCGGCGCGCTCCGGCCCGGACAGGTAGCGCTGGTGGTTGAAGCGGCGCTCCAGCTCGAAGACCTGCGCGTGGGAGAAAGCTGCCCGCGAGCGTTTCTTACGCGGCTTGGGCGCGGCGGGCTCCTCTTCCTCCTCCGCGCCGCCCGCCGGTCCTCCTCCGCCGCCGCTCCGGCCGCACAGCGCCGGCCCCCGTGCGCTCCCGGGGCCAACAGCGTCGTCCTCGGCCCTGGGGCTGCGGTCGCCTGCGGCCCCCGGGGGGGGGGGGTGGGCAGAAACAACAGACTGTCAGCGCCGCAGAGAAGTGAGAGCTGCGGGGGTGGGGGGTGGGAGGGTGGGAGTGGGCTACGGAAACCCCCTCTGATCCCAGCAGAGCGCTTGGGGAGGGTCTGCGAGCCGCGGGTCCCCCCAAACAGTCTCAGAACCCTGTCCCGCCAGCTCCTCGCAGCTAGGCCTGTGCCGCGCGGGGAAACGGACTCAGCTGCTGTGTGAGTGCTGTGTGGCCAAGAGCCAGCTCCCTGCCCTCCCTGGGCCCCAGGCTCCGCTCGGAAACGTGGGGGCACTGGGCCCAAGCATCCTCACAAGCCTCCTCAGTTCTCAGCGCTGAGCCCTGGGGTTCTAGATTGCTCCGTGTCTGGGTTCACCTGCCTCTGGCACACTCATGCTCACACACACTCAGTGTCGCAGCACACACGTGTGGACTGCGCATAAGGGGAAAGAAAGTGTGGGGCCGAATCCTGGGGACACAAGTACTGAGTCTTACCCACTTCCCCAACCACCCAGGACTGTGTGAGGTCTGTGGCAACAGGCTGCTCCAACACCTTACCTTGGTGGGCTTCTCTCTCTCTCTCTCTCCCTCTGTCCCTCTCTTTGCAAGAAAATGAGAGGAGAGCTAGGGATTGAGAGTGAAGAGAAGGAGGTGCCCCAACTCCCAGTCCTTAAACACTAATCTGATGCCAGCTCCTCAGCCTTTTCCTGGATCTCCCCCACAGCTCCCTAGCAGAGAGGTTCAGAGCTCTGGCCTCTGGCAAATACTATTTACTTGGAGCCAGCGTGAGGCCTACAGCAGCGACAAGGTGGTGGGGGCGTCCTTTCCACCCAATGACCTGCTAGCCTTGGCAGAGGATGGTCCTCTCTCTGCCACTTGTGGGATAACCCACCTCAAGCCCCTCTTGCCCTCAGCTGGCTGCGGGGATCCTCAGCCCATCCCAGCTCCCCTGACCCTGGGTTCTGGGAAAGCTAAATAAGCCCGCCCCCCACCCCCACCCCCGCCAAGCCCAGGCTTGGCAGCTGGACGCCTCGGTAGCACTTAGAGGTACCCCTCACTACCTATCCTTGAGCGGAGGGCTGGACCTTGGGACCTCGAGCTGGGAGCATTTCTGCTCTATGGGCCAGGGGCAACGGGCCAGGGCACTGGCTACTCGAGGTAGGTCTCTGGGCCGCTGGCTCTTGCCTGTCGCTGGTTTGGGGATTTTGGACGCAGACAGGGCCGGAGCGCTGGCGACGGACTTAAAGCCAGGGCGCAGGGGTGTCCTCTTAGCCCAGTCTAGGGCACCATTGCCCCAGGACGTCTCAGGCCTCCCCCAGGACGCAGGGCTCTGAGGAGTGTCTCGGGTCTCTCTGGGGCTCCGCGCCGGGAGGGAGGATTAGAGCAGCCTGCGCCAGCGCCCGAGCTTCGGGTCCTGGCCAGCCCGGGGCCCCGGGGCGCAGGGTGCTCCCGGCAGGCCCACCCCACTCGGCGCGTTTGGCCTTCCTGCCCAGCCCCTGAGCCCGGCCCCCTTCCCCGCGACGCCCGGGCAGACCTGAGACGCTGGCCGACATCTCGCTGTCGCTCCGGCCCGCGGCTTCCTCCTCCAGGTCCCTGGCGGCGGGCAGCTCGCAGCCCGGCTGGCCGAGGCCCAGCGCCCCCCCTGCGCGGCCGGCCCCGCTGGCCCCCGGCGCGTCCGCGCAGCGCCGCCCGCCCTCGTTCTCCTCGCTGAGCGCCGAGTCCGAGTCCCAACCAACCAGGCTCTCCGAGGTCCTCCCCGCCGCCGTTCTGGTCCCGCCAGGCGACGCCAGCAGCGAGTCCTCCGCGCCCCCCAGAGCGCCCGCGTCCGTCTCCCCGAAGAGCCGCCAGCAGCAGACGGCGGGCGCCTCCGCCGCCGCCGCCGCCGTGCCCCCGGGTCCCGGGCGCCCCTCCGGCGCGGGCAGCCCGCCGCGCTCCTCTTTCTTGTTGAGGATCGCCTGGATGGAGAAGGGCGTCAAGGCGCCGGCGCCGCGCACAGCCATCTGCGCCGAGGGCCGGGGCGGCCGGCCGGCCGGGCGCGGGGCAGCGGGGCAGCTCCGAGCCGCGCGGAGCGCGAGTGAGCCCGGCGCGCGGGGCCCCTGCAGCCCACTCCCGCGCGGCCCAGCAGCGCCCGCCCCCCTCGGGCCCGGGCTCCGCGCCGACCCTCACCCCCACTTCCGAGGCCCACCCCGCCCGCAGACCCCTCCCCCCAGTCCGGAGCCGGACGCTCTCCTCTCGCAGCTCGCAGCTCGGCTGGATTATCTCATCGCCTCGCGCCCTCCGGGGCGGGCCGGGGTCTGCCCCCCCCCAGGATGTTGGGGGCGGGTCGGCGGGGCCCCCTGCGCGGCCGCAGTCGCGTCCCGAGCGCCTCCGGGGCGCACGGCCGGAGTCACTTTTCCTTTGCGCCTGGCCTCTTCGCCGGCTGCAGGCTTTCGCTCCCCGCTCGTCCTCTCTCTCCCTCCCAGTCGGTCCGGCTCTTCCGGAGCCCACCCAGGGGCGGCGGCGGCGGCGGCGGCGGCGGCGGCGGCGGCGGCGGCGGCCTCTGGACCGCGAGAGGCGCGGGGCACCTCTTTACCCCCCGCTCCGGTTTTATCTGTTTCTTCTCCCTGCCCTGGCCCGGCGCTGCGCCGCATCCCCCCTCCCGCGCGGGTGTCATTCCTCACCGCTGAGTGACAGCCCCGGGCCACGCCCCCTGGCTGGGCGGCCGGGGCCCTCCCGCCGGCGGATTGGCTGGCTCCAGCGGGGCGACGTCGACTTCAACAGACAAAACTGGGCCCGTCGCGCGGAGAAAGTCAGGGTCTGGCTTAACCCCTTTCCTCCCAAGCCTGGTCCTCGAAGCATCCTCCGGCCCCCGGGAGGCCCACCCACCCACACGCGGTGCGCGAGAAGTCACGTTCCTCACCTCCGCAGACGCTTCCACCAATTCCTGCGCTTTCATGCAACACGCTCTTTACCTTAATAGCTGAGTCGAAATCTGCGGGTGGGAGGGTGGGGAGGAGGCAAATCCAAGATAACGCACTTGGGTAAATCGCGCGCGCAGCTTGCTGTTTCCTCGGAAGGCTCAAAGATCAGAACGAAATGCGTTTTTTTTTTAAAAAAAAATCTTCATAGTTTCGGGGCTCCCTCACTGCTAACTCTTTTCATTGAAATAATCGGTTAATCAAAGTCACTAGCAATCTTTTTTTTCCCCTTCACCTTATTTTATTTGATTCAAGCTCTATAGAGGAATTCAAAAGGAAAAGATTAGGTACGGTTAGAGAACTAAAGGTAGGCGCGAAACGAGAAGTCATCTTTGGGAGAGTTTCTGGAAATTGCGCTGTCATTTCCCTGGACGGTCAATACAGAATTTAATTGGAGTTTGTTGAATTTTACACCAGGAATAAGGGGGGAAAACATCCCAGTTTATTCTTTAAATATTCTGTTACTTGTGAGTTGAATAAGATTAGAAAAGCTAGGCGTTTGTTTAAAAGACTATATGGGAATTGCCATAGTAATGATCCTGAACTGATGACATTAAATTCTCTTTAAAAAATAAGTAATGGGTTGTTTTATGTAGTAGAAAGAACCAAGCTAAGAAACACAAACATCGTGGTGTGAAAACATTCGTTACTTACTTACATTACTTATTTTTCAATAAAAAAAATCCGCTCAAGTAACATTACTTTACTGTCTTCCATAAATTTTACCGAGAGTTTAACACCAGAGACACAACTTGAACCATTAGGTAAGTTTAAAGAACTATGATTTTAGTAAATTGGTGTTTCTGGTGTCATTAAAATAAATAGCGTTTCCCCCTGTTGCTTTCCTGTTGGTGGTTCTTGTGCACCGCAGTATGAAATATACACAGTATGAAATTCATAGTTTCCATGTTGTGTGTGTGTTTTGGGGAGAGGGCTTTGCAGCATCCATCCTTTCCAGCATTTTAGCTGCATAATCATGATGCTTTTTCGCATCCTAAATGCTCTACAGTGCTGATCCTGTCATGTACCTGGGTTAAAAAAATTCGCACTTGCAGAGATCATTGCCCTTTATAGCTCTTTGGGGTTATATCACCTTCGAGGGAAAGGTGTTTAAATGTGGTGTCAGCATCCGGCAAATGTAAGGAACGGGACTCTCCTCGGGCCGGGAGGGAAAGAGAACAGAACTGCTCCTGAGGTTTCAAAAGAAAGCGTGTCCTTTCCTTCCTCCCGCTGACCTTTATTTACTCTTTAAATTACCTCCCTCCCCCACCATCCTGTTATCCTCCGGGGAGCGCGTCCTGGAGGAGCTTGACACAGGTCGCCCAGAAGGTGAGAGGTGGGCAGGTGTGAACTGTGTCCCAGACAGCAGTGCCGCTGCGAGGTGAGGGCTTGGTGTGGACGAATAAATTGGGTGAGTTCTGCGCACACGGGCAACGGCGACGTTGTTGGGGTGCGATGACCCCGCATTGAGGCTTACTTGAAAATAGCAACTACTATTTAGCTGCTCCCCCCAATATATATATTTTTAAAGAAAGCCGGGTCGCAGTAGGATCTGCCCTTTGTGTGCCACCGTCTTCGGCAGAGGTGGTCACAGCATTCGCGATGCGGTTCGTGGTTTGGGGCTGTCGGGTGTCTGTGCGTGCCCGGTGTGTAAGGTGTGTACGAGAGTGTCGGCCGTCGCCCTGTGGGTCTGGAGAGGGGCTGCAGGCAGGGCCAGGCGGTGCGGCCGCGCCCTGGTCTCGAACCCCAACTAGGAGCTGCTGGCAAGGGGCCGGGTGGGGCCGACGCGGCTCAGCGGGCCGCGGCAGAGCACCCGTCGGCGGAGCCCGCCCAGGACACGCGGCCTCCAGGCGGGTGAGCGGGGGGGGGGGGGGGGGCGGGGCCCCGAGGTCCGCGCGCGCGGCGGGGCCAGCTCCCAGCCCCCCCGAGCGCCGCCCGCCCGGGCGTGGCCGCGGCCCCCGGAGCCCCGCGGCGGCCTGACCGCGCCTGACCTCCCGTCGGCGCCGCGCTTCGGCCTGGGCCCGCCCCGGGACTCGGCGGGGCCGGGATGCTCAGGCCGCCCGCCAGCCCTCGAGGAGGCGGCCGGGGAGCAGCTCGAGCGCAGCTTCCTCCGCGGCCCCTCGTCCCGCTCCGGCGTCGTGTCTCCGCCTCGCGCCCCCCCGCCGCCCGCCCTCTCCCTGCCCTGGAGCCCCTGGAGCCACCCCGGGCCGGGCCGAGCGCGGCGGGCGGGCGGTGGGAGAGCCCCGGGGGTGGGGTGGGGTGGGGTGGGGTGGGGGTGGGGGAGCCCCGCCTCCCGCGCGCGCCCCTGCCGCCCTCACCTGCGCGCTCAGCCGCCCTCGGCCTCCCCGCGGAGAGGCCCGACCGCCTTCGGGGCCCGGGGACGCCGCGCCGGAGCGGCTGTGCCGTGGGAGCCCACGCGGGGCTTCAGACGCCGACGACCTTGACTGGGGTCTCCTGCTTTCTCTGGGCCGCGGTTCCCGGTCCTTTGAGGCGAGGGCGGGCATCCCGGGCGGTCCGGGGCCGCTGCGACCCGCGCGACCCGGCGGGAGGGCGGCAGGAGGGAGCCGGGTCCAGCAGAGTCCGCGCGGGGACCGACCCGGGTGACCCGGACTGACCGGGCCGCCCTTCCCCATCCGCAGGCCCCCGAGGGCGCTCGAGGCGGCCGCAGCACCCCAGACTTCGGGGACACGCCGCTCCCCGGCCAGCAGCACCCCCGCTCCTGGTTTCCTAAGTCGTCCGACTTCCGACCCCACCAGGGTTTTCCATGAACATTTTCCATGAACATGATCCAGACACTCCAGACTGAAGAGAGGATTATTATGAGCCTATGAGCCAAGGAGGTTTTATATTGAAATGTCCACCAGCCGTGCGCCAGGGCCCAGAGCCTACTGTTTTATTTCATCTGCACAACCCTGGGGTAGAACACATGATTATCCCCATTTTATAGATGAACAAACTGAGACTCATAGAGTTTAAATGACTTGACTGTCCGTACGAGGTTAAAATCAGGATTTAAATCGGACTCTAAGGCCAATCTAGTTCGGTTTTCTACTCTAACCGTTTCCCCTCCCCCCTCAAACCTTCACATTTATTCTCGTTAAACGTTTCCCATCGTCTTCCTTACGCATTTCTATGCCGCTCATTCATCAGAAAAGGAGCTCGGAACTCACTGAAATCAAAGAATCCAGGCCGGCAAATAGGACTCCCCCCCCCACCCCACCCCCGCCCACTGTTCCGAGCATTTGAAAATAAAGAATTCTGAGGCCTGCAGATCTGAACCTAAACCATGTTACACACAAAGAAAGAAACAACCATTATTGTTTTAATCAATAAACTAAACCTTGAGTAGAGGGAGACAGCCAGGTGATGGAAGTTGTTTGGGTTCAGAAATACGGGGACATGAGTTTGCTGGAGGCTCTAAGATGCGGTGATACGACCTCACGGAAGACACTTCTGGGGCTTCGTTTTCTTACCTGTAAAAAGCCAGGAGTGGAGATCACCTTCCAGGTTTAAAAAGAATTGTACGGACGCCGGAACCCGCCCGGGTACAGTGGAGGACGAGCGCCACCTAGCGGCCCCCCCCACCCAGGCGTGTGGCGGGCCTTTAGAGAAGAACCGCGATAAGCAGCGTAGGCAGAAAGAAGGTGTTGGTTTCACAAAACGGCATGGTTTTGCTCCTAGTTTTATGTTTCCACACTCTCACCTTGTCAGTGATGTAATAGCAGAGGTGTTCCTTTTTTAAAACTCACGCAGACACAGTTCAGACACCCCCCCCCCCCCCCCCCCGCTGGAGACTCCCCAGCACTCAAGGCCAGGGGAAAGGTTGGCTCTGAGGGGCAGGACATGTAAGGGTCAGTTTTCTTTTATTTTTTAAAAAATATTTTATTTATTTATTCATGAGAGACACACAAAGAGAGAGAGAGAGGCAGAGACACAGGCAGAGGGAGAAGCAGGCTCCATGCAGGGAGCCCGATGTGGGACTCGATCCCGGGTCTCCAGGATCACGCCCTGGGGCCGAAGGCGGCGCTAAACCACTGAGCCAC